CCCAAGCCAGTACCAAGCTGCATGTAAAGTCAACAGGCGGTGGACTCCCTCTTTGCAGCTACCTCTCTACTACGTTGAGCATCTTGCGGTGTGTGTTTAGCCATACAGCTGTCTTCTTTGGTGAAATGTGTGAGCAGGTCCCTCTTTAATTGGGTTGTTTGTCTTTTTGTTGTTGAGTTGTCGGACTTCTTTGTATCTTCTGGATATTAAACCTGCGTTAGACATATGGCTCCCAAGTATTTTGTCCCATTCTGTAGATTTTCTCTTTACTTTGTTGATAAAGTCCTTTCTTTATTTTTTCTTTTTCCCCAAACCATTTTACTAGGACCTACTCCAGATGTCATACCATTTCCTAGTCCAATCAGGTCAAGCAGTGTTGTACAATTCCTACCATAATCTATTTCAAAAGATAAAGTCCTTCATTGCGCAAAAATTTCCGATTCTGATGAAGCCCAATATACTTATTTTTTCAAATTTTAGCACTTGTGCTTTTGGTGTCATATTTAAGAATCTATGGTTGAAAACAAGGTCCAGAGCATTATTCCTACATTTGGTGTTAAGAGTTGTTGTTTTATTAAATTTTTGTGTGTCTGTTTTGTTGTAAGAGTTTTCTGGTCTTATTTTGGGGTCTTTTATTTTCATCATGATATGGTGTGAGGTACGAGCGCAGCGTCATTCTTTCGGATGTGGAGATCCCGTTGTCTCAGTGGGATGGTTAGGTTTGCTGTCCACGTAGCTGGACCACGGTTCTCAGCAGTGTGGTCGCCGTCCCCCAGGATGGGAGCCAGCGTAACTCTACGATAGGCTCTGGTCTTATCCTCATGAACTCCATCCATGATAGGATCTGCTCTGAGCAGCCAAGCAGTTGTGGGAAGATTATGGTGGAGGGCAATCCTTTTCTTGGGTCACAGCCCTGAAGCCATTGGAAGGAAGTTTTCCTGCGGAGTTTGGCTGACCTCCTGTACAAAGTGAGTCTGTCCAAATCTCCTCCGATTCTTCTGGGATCTCGATCCTGCATCTGGCTCATCAGCCTCTAGTTCTCTGGACTCGAGCCAATGGCTCCCCATCCTGCCTGGGACCCTGGGAGCCATCTAATTGGCCACCTGACCTGCCAACCTTGGGTGCATTGTACTTTGCAGCCACAAGCCTGAACTACTGACCTTGGGGATTCATTTGCTTCTGCATCCTCCTGCCTGTGGTCTTCTTGTTTCCTCACCTCCCACAGCCACAGGGGTCAGAAGAAGCCGTCTGCTGAGCATTTATAGTGTGTTTTGAGACCAGAAAGTGTGAATCCTCCTTCTTTTTCTGTTTCAAGGTTGCTTTGGCTGTGTTCAAGGCCCCTCACCATCTCATATAAATTTGAGGATTAACTCTTCTGTGTCTGCAAGGAAAGCTGATGGAAATTTGATGGGGACTGCAGTGAGCCTATAGATCACTTTGTGCAGTGAGATAGGTAAAGTTTATTGTGCCAACCTGGCTGATAAACACATGTGGGTTTAATTGAAGGGCAGAAAGATAAATGGCTCAGTGAGCCTTGCCTTTCTAGTTCTCAGGTCTCTTGCTTTCCGATAGTCGGATCAGGGTGCAGCTGCCTTAGCCAGTTCCCTGCTTCAGCTGGCAAGGCTCACTTCCCCGAGGAGAAGCCACATGGACCTAACCGGATGCAGCCCTGGGTGCTGGAGCAGCCGTGTGGAGAACCCTACCAGTGTTGATATGCTTATACGTTCACTGATTCGACTTTCCTCCTTGACCATCATAGTCCAACTCGAAACCACTATGCCATTCTTGCACCACCCACGGGTATGTATCTAGGTTGTTTCCATCTACTTGCTATTAGGAAGAGTGCTGTGGTGAACATGGGTGAGCATATCTCTGCTCGGGCTGTGCGCCATACTTCTGTAGGGTGAATACTGAGCAGCAAGACCGCTGGGCCAAATGGAATGTGCTTGAGGAAGTACTTTCCACCGAGCTTGTCCAGTTCTGTGCCCCACAGCAGTGTGTGTGGGCTCCAGCCCCTCTCCCCCTTCTCCAGCACTTGCTATTCTGTGGCTTTTTAACTTTGCTATCAGTGTCTCTTGGCAAGATCTCGCACGGTTTCTTGACAAAGGCTTTATACTGAAGACCTGCCAAATCCTAGCAGCCTGAACTGCTGGGGCTCTGACTATCGCAATAGACCAGAACTCCGAAAACCCAGAAGAGACACAGATGGGGCTGGGTGACTACCCACAGATCCCAGGATTTAGACGTCTTCGCTGGTGCTAGAGGGACGAGTTGAAGCTTCTCATCAACTGTGTCTTTAGCTTTAGGCCAAAGTAGGACTGTACGTCTCTGCCCGCTGGCGGTTGGGTGAGGCCGTGTGATGAATGGCACCAGATCAGCTATGAACAGAAAGGACAGGTGTCTTACCTGCTTGCATACAACCCTCCAGAGCTCTTACATTTTCCCATGGGGCATGGCGATGGACAGCAGTTGAGATGTGGCCATTCTGCCAGCCTTGGTCTCTGAGTGACAGACGATGGTACCCACGTAGACCCGAGTGAGACCTGCATTTTCGAACCACTGAGGTTTGGGGGTCGTTTGTGATCACAGCCTGAACTAGCGTGCTCTTTGCAGTACAGTGTGACGTGGAGAGCAGCCGCACGCATTACTTGACGGGAACTGAGTCCCATGATTCGAGGCAGTTGTTGAGAGGCGCTGTGGAGGCCCTATGGACACCCGAAGGGGACACCACCCGGCTTCCTGCCAACCTCACCGTTGCTGTGTGTGAGCCCAGGGTGGCAGCCACCGTGTCCACCCATCTTGCCTGGGGCCTTCCTCTTTTTAGCCGCTCCCTTATTTTACCAGGCATGGTGTTCTTTTCCAGGGACAGGTCTCCTGATAACACGTCCAAAGTCCGTGAGGCCAAGTCTCGCATCCTCTCTTTAAGGAGTAGGTAACAGTAGTCGTATTCTGTTGCGGTTGTTTGCTGCCATCAAATTGGGCCCCGATCACACACGATGGAAGCCAATCCTGCCTGGCCCTTCGCCATCCCCAGGATAGGTGATGGGTGGGCCTGGGGAGAACTTGACCTTGGCGGATTTTCAGGAGTAGGTCAACCACCAGGTCTTCCTGTCCAGACCACCTTGGCCTGGGAGTTCCAGTGAAACCTGGCCAGCATCGTATCTGCACAAAAGCCACACTGACAGATGAGCGGTGGCCGAGCAGGAGGTGCCCCAGCCAGGGAGTCAACCCAGGTGGCAGACAGGGAAGTCAGAATGCCGACACTCGAAGCACCAATGTCCCCAGTACACACCGAGAGCCTTCTATATGTCAGGCACTGTACGAAGGACCTTCCAAAAGTTTGTGGAAATTTGAATGAAAAGGTCATAGAATCCCCACGAACTTTCTGAAACCCAGTCATGCATGCATTGTCTCAAGTGATACAACAAAGGGGGGAGGGAGGCAGGTGTTACTATCCCATGACCCAAGGCTTAGAAGCTTGTATGGATGTTTTATTTGTAGTGTATTGGCTACCAAAGATGTTGTCATTTGCTGTCCCTCTCCTATAAAATCCCATGGGATGAACACTCTCCGGGAATTACAGCAGGATTCCTTTTAGAACACAATTTTACGTGGATGAAGGGTCATTCAAATGTCCACAGCCCTGGCTTCACTCAACAGCTGTGGGGTACCAGCCCCCATAGCCTAATGGGTCCAAGGGGGCGGTTGTGTACTTGAGGGATAAAATTAAGGAGACATCAGACAAAATTAGGCATGCAAGGGCTCACACTCCAGGACCACCATGACTTCAGGAGCCAGGTCTGCGCAGAGAGGCAGAGAGAGAATATATTTCCAATAGAGAGAGAATGTTTTCCAATACTCTCTAGGGGCATGCAAACTCCCCTAATTACAGGTAACCACGTATGTAACAAAGTGAGCTGTACCCTAACCCTAAAAGTCCCTGAGTCTATTGGAAGAGTAACCTAACAAGAGTGCCCGGGGTAGGTAAGGGGGAGTGGCTATCTTCAGAGCCTAGAAAGCAATTGACAGCATGTGTCTGTCTTTAGAGTTAAAGCTGCCAGGGAGTTAGCAATCAGCCTTGTGTTTATAAGAGGTGACTTTAAGGTAGCACTGTGATGGGAGGATATGGTGGGGAACAATGTTAATGATGAGATGTGATTGGGACTCACCTCCAACTCACAAGGACGAAGGCCTCCCTCCACCCAAGAAACCTAGTCTGTGGGACCTCTTAACATATAAGAATAAAGGAGTCGTCCCATATACACTCTCTTCCAGGTCTCTGTTTCCCACAACGACTCTCCTGTAGCCCTGGCTTTTTGGTCATTAGATTTCTTGAACAACTCTTAAAAATGTAATGGAAAAGAGAGGGGGGGGGGCATTATAGAGTTTGCCTGGTGCATGATTAATGATGGCTCCTTTAATCAGTCCGGAAGAGTGCCCTTGGTCGAATGTTCCTGGTTTAGCACTCCCCTGCCTTTCACCGGCACCGCGCGGCTCTAGAGGTGAATTTCACACCCAACACCCAGTCCAGATGGAGGGAGGGGTCTGCCTGGGGGCACGGTGCTTGTGTTTAACTTCCCGCCAATGGAACGACTGTATGAATTCCACCCCCTCTCTAACAATTATCCCTGCGAACGGTGCTGAAAGACGGTGCTGGCGGGATAGGCACATGTTTTAAAATATTTGTAATTTTAAAACTACAGAGGGCCGGCCTGGGGCTACAAGCGCTCACGGAGGACTCGAACCGAGCGACCCTGGGCTTGCGGCGTCCCCTCATGGCGCCCAGCGCAACCACGCCCGGAGTTCCCCAAGGTCCGCGTCCTTGCAGGCTGTGCAGTCTCCAACCTCTCTCCCCCTCGGCCTTTATTTAGGTCGCCTCTCCTAGCAATACCCCTCTTCCCGCGCAGCAACAGAAAACTCTGCCCTACCCCGTCTTCTTGGGCGTGTAGCTGGCACGCTGGGCCCAGAGCAGACCACGACATCGCCACGCTAGCCAGCACACCGGTCCCCGAGTTATTTTATTGCTGTATAGAGATGAGTTAATGCCCCTGGGTGCCCCACCGGCCCCCCTTTCGGTGACAGTCCCCTTGGCGTCAGTCCTCGATCGTGGGTCGTTCTGAAGGTCAAGACGCCCTCCGCTCCCAGACACCGGGCCAGCCGGGTCCTCGGCCCCGCAGCCTGGGCCCCGGGAGGGGGATCGGGAGAGGTCGCTCCCCGTCTGGCGGGAGGACAGGCCTGCGGGGGACTCCGACACGACCCCCGAGCGTAGGGGCGCGCTGGGCCCCTACTTCTCTGCGTAGCAGTAGGTGCCGTAGGCCGCCTGCTCCGGGCGGGGGAAGCCGAAGCTACGCACCCCGGGGTCCGGGAGGCCCCCGCAGCGCGGCCGCGGCGTGGAGATGGGGAAGCGCACGCTGCCGTCCGCCAGCCAGCCGCCGTCGCACTGGTCCAGCCCCGAGAACTTCCAGGCGGCGTAGAGGTGCCCGACCTTGGCCACCGCGGCCCCGCGCCGCCCGCACGCCGCGTGGGCCTCCGACAGGGTCAGCCGGCCCGGGACGAAGA